GGCGGGAAATAGTCTAATAAAGAGCAAGTAAAGAAATACAACTTTTGACTTTAAAACCATGGTGCCTGCATTCACAAGGACAGTGCAGAGTAACCAGGCAGCCCTTTACCCTACTCATCTGCTCCTAAGGCCATCTTCATCTACATGTGGCGCCAGCAAAGCTGCAGCCATGTGAATCACTTCCCCCCACACCCAGCAGCTGAGGCCTTTATTTAGGAGGTGCCCTCACACATCCACCTTGCCACGGGCAGCTCCCAGGCTCCACACTGCCCCATTTCAGCCAGTTACAAAACACCTGCGATACCAACCTCACCGGGCTGGCTGCATCGGGAATGTGCGTTAGTCAGAAAAGAGCTGTGGGCACAAGGAGGGTAACCTTAGTTTATTCTCTCCTTGGTACAGTAAAAGTTTGCCAGCAGAGCCACGCACCTTTTCCCTTTCACTCTCACCCCCATCAAACAAGCCTGGCAGTGAAGAATTAACTCTTCAGCATGTGCATCCAAACCCATTCCACTAATTTGGTTTGTGTAGCACCTCCTTCACTAAATCCCAGTCTCACAATCCTCATTCTTGGAGCCAGACTCCAGCTTGCATTCTGTCCAAGCCCAATGGTCCCCTGGCTTGCAAGTAGCTATTGCTGCAGTAACTGACATGCCCCTCTTGATGCCAGCTTTGCTCCAGAGCCTTGCTTTGCAGCAGCAAGCAGGTGCTATCACTGCAAGTTTCACCAGCACGGGCTCTAACCCCTCTTCCAGCACGCTCACAGCGTTCAGACCAGATCTAACGCCAAGGCTTGCAACAAGACATTAGACAGCGACCAGCATCCAAATCTCCTGACATTTCTCGTTTCTCATTCCGTGTGCATTCAGCTGGTTTCCAGTCGGCGTGGCAACGCTCCTATCCTGTCACGTGAATCTGGACAGCTGACAGATGGACTAATTAGAGATCACACTATTTATGGGCAGATTGATAACGAGGTTAAAGCAAGGCGACTGTGAAAAAATGGATCTGACTTTGCAAAGAATAACGGGTATTTCCAAGGCCAGGGGTAACGGTGCTTCCCAATTGAAAGAGTCAGCAAAGCTGCCAAAAAAATAAATAAATAAATAAAAACCATAAAAACATTCAAGGCAAAGACAGACTGCAAAGATAAGGAAACAGCAGAGGTCAAATGTATTTATGACAATGGTTGTATCACAGGTTTGCTGTTATACGTGAAACAGAAACAGCTGTTTTCTGAAAGATACAAATTGTATTAAGTTAAAAATCACAGTTATCTACACACAACGGAAGATACATCTCCAATCATGTGGATTTACAAAGTATTTTTTTCTTTATTCCATAATAAATGCAGGATTGGCCTCACAGCTGGCTGCACTGAAGCAGTGAAAAGAAATAACACCAAGAGTGAATTTCCAGACAGATACTACATCACAACACAAAGTAAAGCCACTATCATCAGAACAGTCATCATCAGCACTGACAAGGAAAGCTCAGGTGGCTTCATCAGTTCAAACTTGTGACCAAATAGCAAGTATGCTCATATAGAGACAGGCAGCCTTCAGAATGAGAAATAACAGGTGGAAAGACCTAAAAATACTGGGTTGAGCATGGATGACTGGAAATGTCCAAACTTACCTGCAGAACATGGGGCATTTAAAACATTCTTAAAGAAGGTATTTGATGGTCTTGAGTGCATAAAGGTAGAAAATAATTTATTATTGCAAATCCCTGGACATCACTGAAAAATACATCAGATGAAAACTCACCAAAAACAGAGGCAAAGCAAAAGACAAAATTGTACAGAGGAAGCACTTAACTTTACCGAGCCATTCAAAAAGCATCCAACTAACCAAAACCCTACTCACGAAGATGTCCTTGGTCAAACACATACCTTGCTGGCATACCACTTCAAAGCCCCAGGTAGCTTCAGCAAAAAACAGTGAAATTTGGCTGATGCATACTAAAGACCACAGAAGTTCAGCAAATTGAAGGATATCACTAAGTTGCTGAGATAAGAACCTTAGAAGTAGCTACAGAAAAACATAGATTGTGTTTATTATGGGGCAATAAAACACCTACTTATATTCCATGTTGCTCAGACTAACTGAACTGATAAGCATTTCCCATAGCTAGGGCATTTATATATTCTTCCCCTATAGATTTTCTGCTACCCAAACAAGAACAAGTTTCTCAATCTATGTACTTAAACTGTTCTTTCCCTTACACTTGGCTGCAAATTTCTATGAAATGCCTCAGTTTTAATCATTTCTGTGGACTTTATCAGCTAGCACAAGCTGGTTGAAAACAGCCAATGCATTTGAAAGCTATTAGGAAGGAATGACAAACAACAATTTGAAAGAGTATTCTGAGAATATAGAGTTACTATACCCCTATTTTAAAGGTTTCTAGGGTGTCACTTCATCACCAAGTCACCTGGGAATTGTTATGAAATTGGCTAATTAATGCCACACCTTGAGATCCAAATGAGTATGGGATGTGCTGGTGAGTAATGACAAGTTACACAAGCTGCTGGTTAACCTCCCATAGCTGGGAACTTGCTGAGAAGAAAAATATGTGTGGAAATACCCTGCTACTAGCACTGCAGGTGATGGAGGAGTTCAGAGAGAAGCCATGAAGGGCTCACCTTCAGAAGATGTTTTTGACAGCTTCTCAGGCTATAGCAAAGGTTAAATAATTCTGATCCCTCTTCAAGTCACTGATAGAAGACAGATGTCCTAAAGTGGTTTTGATGCTCTGATTTACATGTGGGGAGATAAGAGACGGAGAAGATCTGGGAGCAAGCAACTGTCACTCAATGTGTGAGGGAATGCAGCTCATTTTGAGGCTCAGATAATCAGCCTGGGAAGCACTACTCACCACTCCTTTCCCTAGTGACTTCCTGAAAGAAAAGTGTGTGGGTCTCCTTGAAGCGTTCTGGTCTGATTCACAGAGCTGAAGGCAGCAGTGCGCACATGAGAAGGGTGTATTGTAAGGCTAGCCAAGTCCTCTGAGCTTATGGCCAATATTGCAAAATCTGTTATGCCTGAGCACTACAAAGCACAGAGCATGTGCCCTGGAGAGCTGGGGGAGCAGCAGCAGTGGTGCACATGGCAGAGAAGACTGCACCTCCTTGAGAACTACTGCAAGATACTACTGCAGCCAGGTACCTGGGCCTCAACTTGAGACCTAGAGTTTGCCCAGCTGCAGTGCCCAGCTATGAGTTGCATGATCTGCCCTCACCTTGGCACACAGAGCTCTTTAGCTATAATTAGCCCATCCATGGGTGACCAAATGGACAAAACAGAATTCAAGGTTTATGTCTCAGAAAGCTGCCATCTCAGGATTATTTAACAACATGCTGTAGTTTTATTCTTCAAATGGAAATGGCAACAAGACAAAGTCTAAAGCTAACTCTGCCATCACTTGGAAGCTTTCCTGTGTATGAAACAGAGCAAGAGAAGCTAAACTCAATTACTGTTGGACACGGTCTTTCACTGAGAGCACAGCAAGCCCAAAATCTTTTGCTGATCTTCACTGTTAGTCCATCATATCCAAAATAGGTCATGCTTGATGAGCATATGTTGATCCAGGCAACCTTAGCAGATCATAATTTCTGACTGTGCAGGTCCTGCTGTATGTGCACTGCAAAGCTGATATGCACGTTGTTCAGGACCTCTGGATGTCCAGCAGCCCTGGCAAAGCCCCTGCCTATTAGCAAGGCTCTTTGGTGACTGTATTCTGGGCTCCTTGGATCAAAGGCTGACTTCATATCTCAAATTACTTGCTGAGTTTTGCAGCTACCTAGCTGGAGAAGTAGGCCAGAATTCAGATTACCTCCAGCTTAGATGCCTGGAAATCCCAACCAAATGACTTTACTTGCTGCTTCTTGTTTTTCCCCTCCCTAACCAAAATTTCTGTCTGAAAAAAACTTTAAAATGATTTAAAGAACCCAGACATGTGCCCTTTTGGACGTCATTACCACCAGCACAATAAAAAGCATGTTCTGTAAGAAATAGCCAAGAAATATAGTTGGACCAATGCTAAGATGGTGTCTTACGCATAAAGATGAATAACAGCTTTCAGTGGGAATTTACAGTCTGCCTACCAAGGGTCCTGTCTCATTATTCTTCGACAGTTCCATTATTTGGAGTCCACAGGTCTTCCCTTTTTCTACAGCTTGATTCAACAAACATCAAGGGAGGATTCATCAGTGTCTTCCTCGCCATTGCCAGGAAGCAGTAGTAATAATAATAATTGGAGCTCTTCCTAGTCAAAATACCCTTTAAAACCATTCTCTAATTACTTAATAACTAGATATTTGAAGATGTACTGGAAGCAAGAGTTATTGCCTCCAAGAAAACAGAAGGAACACCACATGTCTGCTTGGGAAAAGTACCATGAAAGGGTACACTCTCCATTGACACTAACCTATATAACCCCTTCATAAAAACTAGATGATGTCTTCTCTTTCAAAAACTAGTGTCAGCAAAGACTATAACAAATTTACATGTATCTCACAAGAAATGGTGAGAAAGCTTCAGCTTGCGCCATTTTGATACTTCAAAGACAGTAGTAAGGACCTCTGAGGGGAAAATGGGTTTGTGGTATTTATCTGGGAAACGGCTTATTCCTGGAAGTTAAACCAGAGCATAAATGTGGAGATACTATTCAGTATCAGTCAGATGACATAGGAAAGCATTAACCTTCTCCCCATCACAGGTTGTTTAACTTGTATGAAGAAACCTAGAGTGCGCAACCATCTCTCCTACAGTTAAAGAAAAATTTTTCCTCCCAACAATCTTAAGGAGTCTCTAGTATCTAGACACTGGCTTGCATAACAACTTCCCCAGCTAGTAGTTATCCTGCAGTCAGAACTAAACTTTTGTCTCCTGCTTTTCTTTCTACACGGAAGCAAGCTAAGCACAGATTAATTTGGCAAAAGACTAGCAATGGAATAAAATATTCCAAATGAGTCCATGCTGTGTGACTGTTTTCACAACGCCTTGGGCACAGAGGCTAACCAAGAACTTTGAGAGCAGCAAGGGCCGGCGGGGGGTCTGCCAATGTAAAGCACTGCATT